AAAGGTCCGTATAGTCAAAGTTACAGTTTTTCCAATAGTCATACATGGATGTGAGAGTTGGACCATAAAGAAGACTGAGCGCCGAAGAACTGATGCTTTTGAACTGTGGTGCTGAAGAAGACTCTTGAGAGTCCCCTGGACTACAAGAATATCAAACCAGTCAATCATAAAGGAAATCAACTCTGAATATTCATTAGAAAGACTGATGCTGAAGCTGAGGCTCCAATACTTTGGCCACTTGATGCAACCTGATGTGAAGAGCTGACTCACTGGAAAATGCCCTGATGCTGGGAAAGACTGAAGGCAAAAGGAGAAGGGGGCAGCAGAGGATGAGATGGTTGATAGCATCACCGACTCAATGGACATGAATTTTAGCAAACTTTGGGAGATAGTGAAGGACAGGGAAGCCTGGCATGCTACAGTCCATGAGATGGCAAAGAGTCTTAGCAGACTTCCTAATTGAACAACAGCAATAATCAAAGAACAAACAGTGGGCAGTGACCCAGTTCCTAGAAATCTCCACCCTTTCTGTGAAGTAACTGAAATAATCCTCCCACTCAAGAGACTATGAAATTACCCTGCCTGTAAAAACTAACCACACACCACATTTTGAGGCCCCTCACCTTCTGAGATGGTCCATACTGTGGAGTGTGCTTATATTTAAATAAATTCAATTCTTACCTTTCACTTTGTCTCTCACTGAATTCTTTCTGTGACAAGACACCAAGAACCTGAGCGTCATTAAGTCCTAAGACCAGGTAAGTGTTCACAGACAGTAAAATTCAAATGCACGTGGGAAAAAAATCAAAGAGCATCAAGTTAGAGCAATCATTATAATTATAAAAAAAGAAGAAAAAGTAGAAATGCCTGTTTTCTCCTCTTTATTTTTAAAAATTGTATACAAAAATGTATAAAATAATATGTACAAAAGGTATCAGGCTTCCCAGGTGGCATCAGTGGTAAAGAACCTGACTGCCAATGCAGAAGATGTAAGTAAGGAAGAACCCTTGGAGAAGTATTCTTCACTTCACTCCAGATCCCCACTGGATCCCATGGGGATCCCCAAGATCCCCAATACAGTATTATTGCTTGGAAAATCCCATGGACAGAGGAGCCTGGCAGGCTACAGTCAGTAGGTTGCAAAGAGTCAGACACTACTGAAGCAATTTAGCATAGCATATAAAGTATCATAAGCCTTTGACTGTGTGGATCACAACAAACTGTGGAAAATTCTTAAAGAGATGGGAATACCAGACCACCTGACCTGCCTCCTGAGAAATCTGTATGCAGGTCAAGAAGCAACAGTTAGAACTGGACATGGAACAACAGACTGGTTCCAAATCAGGAAAGGAGTAGGGCAAGGTTGTATATTGTCACCCTGCTTATTTAACTTATATGCAGAGTACATCATGAAAAATGCTGGACTGGATGAAGCACAAGCTGGAATTGAGACTGCCGGGAGAAATATCAATAACCTCAGATGTGCAGATGACACCACCATTAGGGCAGAAAGCGAAGAAGAACTAAAGAGCCTCTTAATGAAAGTGAAATAAGAGAGTGAAAAAGTTAGCTTAAAACTCAACATTCAGAAAACAAAGATCATGGCATCTGGTCTCATCACTTCATGGCAAGCAGATGAGGAAACAATGGAAACAGTGAGGGACTATTTTTGGGGCTCCAAAATCACTGCAGATGGTGACTGCAGCCATGAAATTAAAAGATGCTTGCTCCTTGGAAGAAAAGCTATGACCAACCTAGACAGCATATTAAAAAGCAGACATTACTTTGCCAACTAGTCAAAGCTAGTCCGTCTAGTCAAAGTTATGGTTTTTCCAGTAGTCATGTATGGATGTGAGAGTTGCACTATAAAGAAAGCTGAGCGCTGAAGAATTGATGCTTTGAACTATGGTGTTGAAGAAGACTCTTGAGAGACTATTGGACAGCAAGGAGATCCAACCAGTCCATCCTAAAGGAGATGAGTCCTGAATATTAATTGGAAGGACTGATGCTAAAGCTGAAACTTCAACACTTTGGCCACCTGATGCAAAGAACTGACTCATTGCAAAAGACCCTGATGCTGGGAAAGACTGAAGTTTGGAGAAGGGGACGACAGAGGATGAGATGGTTGGATGGCACCACCAACTCAATGGACATGAATTTGAGTAAGCTCTAGGAGCTGGCGATGGACAGAGAAGCCTGGGGTACTGCAGTCCATGGGTTCACAAAGAATCAGACAAGACTGAGCGACTGAACTGATAAGGTATCATTGGATGTATAACACATAGAAACATAATATATGTATATTTGCCAAAATATCACAAAGAAGGTGAGTAGGAACAAACCTGTAGCAGACTAACAAAATGCATAAGATGTAAAGTAACATACTGTTGAGTCTGTAACAATACATGTTAATGTGTTTAACAATAACAACCAGGAATTCCCTGGCAGTCCAGTGGGTAGGACTCTGCTCTCATTACAGTGGCTGGGGTTCTATCCCTAGTAAGGGTACTAACATCCCACAAGACATTACAGCCAGATAATAACAATAACAGTAATAATAACACCAAAAAAGAGGATAAAAGGGAATAGATCTATGCAGGAGTACTGTTTACATCTCTGGAATTAAGCTAGTATAAGTCCGAAGCTGACGCTGTTAAGATGGATATGTTAAACCCTAGAGCAACTATTAAACAAAAACACAGTGAATGAAGAACAGAGGAACATAAAAGACATGAGACACATAGAAAATGAAAAGTAAAGTGGCAGATGTGAATCCAACCAAATCAATAACAACACATGAATAGATTAAACAACCCAATCAAAAGGCAAAGATTGTCAGACCCAATCAAAAGGCAGAGATTGTCAGACTATATACTGTCTTCAGGAAACACCCTTTAGATTCAAAGATAAACTTTCACTTTGAGAGTGAAAGGATGAAAAAAAGGTTATCTCATGCAAACAGCCATCATAAGAAAGTGGGAGTGGCCACACAGGTATCAGACAAAAGAGACTTTAAAACAAAGATGGAACATTTTATAATGATAAAAGGGTCAAACTACCAGGAAAGTAACACAGATAAAAACATATCTACCTAATAACAAAGCACCAAAATACAAGAAGACCCAACAAGAAATGAACAGAAAACAGACAATTTTAGTTGGAGACTATTAATAGTTGGAGACTTCAACATGCCACTTTGAATAACGACTACAACTAGACAAGATAGCAAGCCAGTTCGTTGTTGCTTAGGGCAGGTGGGGGATCGGGAGGTAGAGGGTGAGTGCTCAACGATATGAGATTTCTTTTTGAGGTGATGAAAAGATTCTAAAATTGACTACAGTGGTAGTTGCACATATCTGTAAATATATTAAAAACCACTGACTTTCACATTTTATATGAGAAACTGTATGAGATAATGTGACCTATCTCAATTAAGTAGCTAAAAAAATTATTCTAAAGATGTCAGAGATGAGTGCTAAATGCAGTGAAACTGCAATGAGAAATCTGGTTATCAGATCTGGTTCTGGGGGGAAACAACTATAAAAATACATCGCTGGGACATCTAAAAAATGTAAGATATGGGCTGTGGATTCGACAATATACTTTCCATTAAAGAAATAGATGCTCTAATTATAGCACAGGCATCAATTCTCTTACTTGAGTCCAGATTTATTGAACAAACACTGTGATCGCGCAGAAAGCACCATGAACATTTTGGTCCAACAATGTACCAATTTGTGTCCTAATATCCCCTGAATGCTGAAAATGTTGGAGGAAAACGAACATTTTAGATGGAAAAAAAGAGCATAATGATGTTTTAATGGTATGAGCGACCTAAAAAGTAAATGAAACAACATATTAGAAAAGAATTACAATTGACAGCTAAAAGCATTAACGTTATTGGAAGGCTCAAACACCAAAAACTCAGTTTCTTTCAACATCTAACATAGGCATCGCCTCCTTACTATTCATACCATTCATTAAGATTCATCGAATTAGTCCAAAATCCAGCCCCTTGGCTTTAAAAACCAAGATTTCTTAAAAGGGTTAGGCAATGTAAGAGGTGGGGCACGTAGACAGGTACAGCAAAGGACAATGGAAGGATTTATCCAAACCAAAAATGACAGGCTCCCCTCCGTGAGAAAAAGGAAGAACTTCGATGGTTTCCCCTGAGAAGAAAAAACGGGATTGTGAGAATGTAAAGACACCAATGAATTCTGTGCTTTAAAAGTCTCTTATCTAAGACGAGTCCACAGCGGACCCTCCAAAAGAGAACGAGGTGCATAGAACAATATAGTAGGTTCTCCCCTTCAGAAAAGTCAGTAATGTAGAATTAAGCAGAAAGAGGGGAGAGCGTGAGCCGACCCTCAAATGAGGATGCTAAAGAGGCAGCCCCGACCGGGACTCGGGAAGGGACCAGCGACGAATGGAAGGTCCGAGAACGGGAGGGAAGAATCAGCACGTCGCTAGGGAGCGCCCGGATGACAGCTCTCCGTCTCGGTTTGCTGCTCAGCTCCAGTACCTAGAACTGCGCCAGGCTCTTAGCGGGCGCCCAATACACAGATGGGAAGACAGCTGTTCCATTAATGTACAGTCTGGAGAGACAGAGACGCCAATCACCCTCCCTCGCCGTTCTGTGCGCTCCTGCCCTTCACGGCCAGCAGGAAAGCTTGTACTTGTGGGAGAGAACGGGTTCACGAAGCTGGGGCTCCTCACTTACTTTTGCAGCCGGGCGCCATCATGCCCTCAGCCCTGGATCCCGAGACCGACGGAGCGACCGTACTCACTTCCAGCCGCGCACCGCGCGGGGATTCCGCCCACTCAAGATGGCCGCGAATTTAAATTTGGCGCTCAGGCCTGACGTTGACGCCAGAGTGAAGGCCGCCATGTTCCCCGGCCTTGGGTCAGGGGGCGGGGTCTATGTGGCGTCACGAGTAGGCGCCGTCGCCTCTGTACATCCTGCAGGCTCTCGGGAAGGCCTGTTTTCCCCCAGAGTCGCTATGAGCAAGCGGAACCAGGTGTCATATGTGCGGCCAGCCGAGCCGGCCTTCCTGGCCCGCTTCAAGGAACGGGTCGGCTACAAGGAAGGGCCCACCGTAGAAACCAAGGTGAGCCCGGGCTTGTCGAGTTACCGCAGAAACGCGACCGGCTCCGCTACTTTCTGCTTCTGCCTTGGAGGCCACATACTGACGGGTCCCACTTCGCGCCCACGCTGGGCCCTCAGTCCGAGTGTCATCGGACCCCAAGCTGGTCCTCTTCAAACAACTACAGCCTCTTGCGCCCAAAAAGATGTTTGTCGCTTTCACAGTGGTGTTGTGTTCTGAAAATGACGCAGGTAAAGCTCCCCATCCTTGGTAGATAGTACTTTAGGAAAGATCGTTTTTCTGTCCCTTCATTTTCACTTGCTCATCCCAAAACCTGTAGCTAACAGTGTAGGTGATAGTGTCGTCCCACCTTCCAGGTAAAGAAACTGAGCACTTAATCAAATGACCTAGTTACTTCCCTGGTGGCTCAGACGGTGAAGCGTCTGCTTACAATCTGGGGAGACTCGGGTTCAATCCCTGGGTTGGGAAGATCCCCTGGAGAAGGAAATGGCAACCCACTCCAGTACTCTTGCCTGGAAAATCCCATGGATGGAGGAGCCTGGTGGGCTACAATCTATGAGTTCGCAAAGAGTCGAACACGACTGAGCGACTTCACTTTCTTTCTTTCTTTTTAACATCCTAAGCCTCAAATCTAGAACATCTTTAAGAATGTCTTAGATCTACTTCTGTCCTTTGTTCTTACCTCCTAAAAAAAGATGGAAAGCAAATACTTTTCATATCCTAGATCTGAATAGGATCATGAGAGTCAATTTCTATGCCCTCCCAAGCTCCTTCCTGAACTGATTCACATCAAAACCTGCCCTGTCTCTTCTAATAGAAAGAGAACACGCCATTATGCTTAGGACATGTGTGGAGAAATAATTTATTTAGCACTTTATCTAGCATTTGCAGTAAGACCCACTTGCATGTCATCTAGTAGGACCCAAGATTGACTTAAGTGCAGTTAGTCCAGTGAGTATGTGTTAACCCCAGGCACTGGACCAGGCTCTGAAAGGACTAAGAGATGGATTTCCAAAATGCTATGTTCTTTAATTTTTACATATTTATTTCACTGCATTGGGTCTTAATTGCTGGACGTAGGATCTTTGTTGTGGCATGCTAGCTTCTCTCTAGTTGTGGTGCTGCCGCTCCAGGGTACACAAGCTCCGTAGTTGCCTCTAGTGGGCTTAGTTGCCCCCCGTGGCATGTGGGATCTTAGTTCCCAGACTAGGGACTGAACCCACATCCCTTCTGTTGGAAGGCAGATTCTTAACCACTGGACCACCAGGGAAGCCCCTGCCATGTACCTTCAACACCTTCCTGCCTGCCTTACCGCAGCCTTCACAGGTCACCACCTCAGCCAAGCCCTCTGAACCGCCCTCAACAGTTACTCCTCTGTTCTTCTCTGCATCCTGTCCACATATCCGTAGTGCTTACTGTTCTGCATTGCAGCTGCTTGCTCTTCTGTGTATCTCCTTCACTAAATCTAACTCTTTAAGTATCTTAATCCATCTATATTTTCCTAGTACAGTGTCTGTGACCTCACCTAGTGTGTGAGAAGTTACAGTGGTTAGATAACTGTGCTTATCATCAGGCAACACTTCATGGGGGAAGGGATATTTAGCCTGAATCTTGACCATGGGTAGGTCAGCAGCTAGAGATGGAAGGAACAGCATGGGTAAAGGAGTAGAGGTGGTGAGTCATGGACTGTGTGTATAAGTGGTTGAGGGACTGATAGAGGTGAGGCTGTATGAACTATTCATTAGGCAACAAGGAGCCATGTTTGGTTAGAGATAACATGATCAAGGAGTAACTGGTCCCCAGGACTGAAATCAGAGACAATGGGAAAGAGGATAAGGTTTGAGAAAAGGGACATGGATGAAGCAATGAGGAGAATATGCAACCTAATATTATAGTTTGCTTCAGGTCCTAGTGATGATCATGTGTGTGCATAGTTAATACCCTGAAGATTGCAGCTTGGAATCCTGTCTTAGGAGAACTTGGGGAAAAGGTTTCCAATTAGTATCAGTGATTTGGGCTAACAATTTTGATCAAGAGACTTTTCTGTAGATAGATGCAACATGTACCTATGTTTGTGAAACCAACTTCATTCTTAATCATTTTGGCAGGATAATCATTCTAATAATCTGTTAACAAAAAGAAAGGAGTTTCGTAGGAAATCACTATTTAATTGAGCTAAGTATTCTTATCCTCTTAAGAGTTAATTCAGGAGTGATTTTGAACAAAGAGAAGAGAGTTAGAATGAATTATTCTGAATGTAATAAACACCAGGAATAATTTTATTTCACTTTACCATTTCCTTGGCTAAAAATACTCATTAATTACCTACTTGTTTGTGGTCATTTATTGGAAACTTTCAGAGAAAAACAGACAAAACTAATGAATAATCAGTGAATTAACATGGATGTTATTAAAGAGAATGAAATTATTCTTTAATTAAAAACCAAAGAAAAGAAGAATGTACTTGTCAGGTGATTAAGCAGACTTGGGATATAGACAAAATGATTGAATGTGCCTGTGACTTGCCACAACTTCAAGTTCATCATTTTTCATCCTGTTGGTCATTCATGAGTAGATTGACAAATGTTTCTTGTCCCTGCTGTTTGCCAGGCTCTGAGCCTCTAGATGCAGAGAAGAAACACATACTGCGTTGCCTAGTAGAGTCAGGAAAACATTGATGACACGGTGTGGTACATGCCACCTATGAGCTACAGATGATATGAAAAGAACAGGTGAGATCTCAAAAGCACTGCTGAAGGATCTGAGTCTAGAAGGCAGATTGATTAGGAGTTGGCCAGGGTCAGTGAGGCCTTCCAGGCCCTGGAAATTCATGCAGTATCAGGGGAGGCACAGGAGCGAATATGTTCGTGGATCAAACCTGTCTGGAGCCCAGAGGCCATGAGCATGGCAAGAATATAAGACTGTGCTTATAGCTGTGGTTATTGACTCAGGCCAGATCCTGCAGGGCTTTGTTGCCCTGTTTGGGGGACAAGGAAGGCTCTGTGAGAGGTGGACTAACCAGCTGTTTGAATACTGTGTGGTAAGTGTGCAAGCCTTGAAACCTAGCATTTCCATTCAGGGAATTCCATGTATAAGTTTGGAAAAGTAAACAAAAACATGCAAAAATTTTATCATAGTAGAAAAAACTAGAAACAACCAAAATTTTTGCTTACAAAGAACTGATCAAATAAACCATGAGATAACCATATATAGAGTTAAATAATAGTAATTTTTAAAAATAGATGATGCCATATGTATCTCAGGGTATTGTGCAAAGCGTTTTGTTTTGTTTTTCTTTGAGTAAAAAAGTTGGGCAAGTGGAGCTTTTATGGTGTCTGATATTTTTCTTAAAAAATCTCAATTAGCCAAATGTTACCATGTGTTATGTGTGTAAAGTGAGTACATGGTTTCTGTTACATTATTCTCTGTACTTTTTTACGTTTGGAATTTAATACTTTAAAAAGAATAAAACAAGTCATACAGTAGTATGTTTAGTGGCCTGTTTGTATACAAAATGTTTTCTGTACCTCCACATTTTTATACACTTAGAACAGCTGATGGGATACCCACCAAACAAGCTGCTGGGAGGGAAGAAAGATGAGCAGAGAAGGAGGACCTTTTACTTGCTGCTTTCTGTACTCTGGTGGGTGGTTGTTGTTGTTACGCTTTGAGAAGAGATGGAGTGAAAAGGGTTGATGAAGAGCAGTGAGAACTGGCACAGCCCAGCACTGCCCTGAGTAGGCTGGACATGGAAGAGAGGGCCCCTGACATCAGGGACTGCAAGTTGGGGTCCTGCTGGGATGGAAACTGGTTCCCCTGCATAGGTACCCCAGAATAACTGGCAGGTGGACCTCTTCCCTACTCTGGCGAGGTTAGGTTCTTAAGAGTTAACTTGAAAATTCACTGCCAAACACATTTAGTCAGTAAGGTCACTCTTCTCACTCTGCTGATTACAGTTTCTCACAGAGACAGTGGTTGTATTTAGTTCAAGGTCAGAACTTGAATGTTGTGTTTGTGTTTTTTCCTAGAGAATCCAGCCTCAGCTCCCAGAAGAAGATGGTGATCACAGTGACAAAGAAGATGAACAGCCCCAAGTGGTGGTTTTAAAAAAGGGAGATCTGTCAGCTGAAGAAGTCATGAAAATTAAGGCAGAAATAAAGGCTGCCAAAGCAGGTATGTCTGAAAGTAAGCTGGTTTTCCCACCAATTTAACGTTAGGTATGAAATCATTTTATATAATGGTATGGTATGTTTGAAAGAGACAGTCCTAGTTCAAACTTCATTTACCAGATTTGTGACTCTGAACAAGTTATTTCACCTCAGTCTCAGTTACCTCATTAGTAAAATGGGGACAATAATTGTGCCCACCTTACTGGGTTGTTATAAGGATTAAATGCAAATTTAAGTAAAAACATCCTGTTTTTTAAAAAATACATGGTTAGGTTTACAAACCAGTCAGCAGAGATCTATTTAGTGCCTGAAGTGTGATATGCTATATAGCATTTTATTCATTATTTATAAGTTTTTATTACATTGCTTTAGGAGGAAATGCTGGAGTTTCAAACAATCACTTTTCAGAATACTTAAAAATACAGCATGATTATGGATAACCAACAGGGACCTACTGAATAGCACAGTAGTATCTGCCCAATGGTATGTAGCAGCCTGGAGGAGAGGGGAGTTTGGTGGAGAATGGAAACATGTATACGTACGCCTGAGTCATTCTGCTGTCCACCTGAAACTATCACAATATTGTTAATCAGCTGTACTCCAATATAAAATTAAAAGTTTAAAATATGTGTGTGTGTGTGTATCTCCTGATTGTTTTGAATTGGGGACTGCCAGTATTACAGTATACTTCAGTAAATGAGTTTTTATTAGGTTTTTATTAAGTGACTGCATGTCTTGTGGGTACATAGCTAGAGGGAGCAGAGAAGAACTGGCTGAATTGACTCAAGGATATCCATAAATACAGTATGAGATTTTCTTGCCATCTGACTCTCCAGTAAAGTCAAAATAATGAGAGAAAGTGTTTTAACTTTGTTTTTTGGTGCAGATGAAGAGCCAGCTTCAGCTGATGGAAGAATTATGTATCGAAAACCAGTCAAGCGTTCCTCAGATGAAAAATATTCGGGTTTATCAGCAAGCTCAAAAAAGAAAAAGGCAAAAGAAGAAGATGAAATAAATAAGCAGGACTCAGTTAAAAAGAACTCACAAAAGCAAATCAAAAACAGTAGCCTCCTTTCTTTTGACAATGAAGATGAAGATGAATAAGTACATATTTTGGACTCCTTTAAGAATATATGGGATTTTTAAAAAATAACATCTTTTTTCCTATTATAAAGTAATATAAATTCATTGAAGAAAATTTAGAAAATTCAGAAAACATTCAGCAAGATAAAAACTGTATCTATCCATCAATACCCTTTTGATCTGAACTGCTAATTCTCTAACATTAACTACCACTAACATTTTATTTCTTGATGTGGGATGTGTGTGTACGTAAATTATATTTTTGTAACCAAATTTTTGCTGTATTCTGTATGTTCTCTATCCTGCTTCTCACTTGATGTTGTATCATGAGCATTTTTCCAGGTCAGTAAAATTCAAAATCCTGACACTTATAGCTACAGAGGATTTTGTAATTAAACGGGTCCCATGTTTGATCTTCCTCTTCAGCAGAACCTCACTTTGGGTGAGGGGAATTATCATGGGCCTAGTTACCAATACTTCCCCAGCTCCTAAGAACAGCCTTGTGACAGCTCTGATAAAGAGATACAAGTAGATCTTGAACAAGGATCTAATACAGGGGACCTGACTATAGTTGTTACATGATTTAAAAAAAAAAAAGATACAAGTGGAAATCTGCTTCCTGTGTATCTGACAAAAGGACAGATTTGGCAAGCAGTTGGTTGTCCTCTCTCCATCCTGCCTGGAGCACAAACACACAACCAAGAAGTTCCAGAGCCATTTGGGGGCATGAAAAAGACAGCCACTTGTTCCAGCTGGTACACTGGACAGACTCCAGGAGCTTGGATTGTTATGACATGCCTAGAGGACCTACTGTACCAGCCTTGGACTGACTTACTGATCCATGAGGATAAACACCTTCATAGTTAAACTTCAGTCAGGTTTCTGTGACGTGCAGCCTGATGATCAGTGGTAGAATGTCTGTGTATAGAAACCTCCAAGTGTATTTCTGATGATTTCCTTAGAATGAGTTGCTAGAATCAGAATTACTGGATCAAAGTATTTGAATATTTCTAAAGCTTTTGATGCTTGCTTTCAAATTGCTTTCTAAGTAGGTGTTACCATTTTATTCATACCACCTACAAGAACCCACATCACCTCATCTCTGGTAACAGTGCACCACCATTGGACTGGCACCTTTACATTTTTGTCAATTTGATGTATTGAAAATGGTGTTTAACAGTTATATTTAACCATCATTTTCTTTGACCAGGAAAGCTAAACTGTTTTTCATGTTACCTAAAAATTTTCCTCATTTACAGCAAGTCCACCACAACTGGAGACTTATCAAGATCCCATTCTTCACCAGCCAGAAATTAGGAATTTCAGAGCTTCCATGTTAATAATTTGGTGCTACATCTGTCTGTCAGTCATTTTAAGACCTATTGTAAAGAGTCTTAAAAGTGATTCATGTGAGTGGGCTCGTGAGTCCTGAAATAGGCTCTGTAAGTTACGCAGACTAGTCCCAAAGCCATTCTGCAGTGCTATCTTTAATGTGTACCCAACTTGTTATATAAACCAGGGTTTTTCTAATCTGTATCATTGCTATATCTATTCTTGTACCAACACCCCACTGCTTTAATTACTGTAAGTTTTAATGTGTCTTAGGATTTACAGGTGGGAGTCCTAAGGACAGCGACCTTGTCTTACCTATCTCTGTATCTTCAGTACCCAGAACAGTACCAAACATGTTAAGAACAAAATAAATACAGTGAGAATGACTGTTTCTCTAATTTTTCAATAGGCCAGTGATTCTCAAAATATAGATCCTGGACAAGCAGCATCAGCGCCTCTGGGAACCTAAAGATGCAAATTTGTATGCTTGCCTGAGAACCAGAAATTTAAGGTGTAGGGTCCAGCATTCTTTGTAACAAGCCCACTAGAAGGTTCTGATGCTCACTCAAATTTGAGAAATACTGATAGAGCCTATATAGGGAGATGAAGCCAAAAATTTAAACAAGTAACATGGAAGACTGTTTAAAAGATCTTAAATTTTAAAATGTATTATCCTGATGAAGTCCTGACTGTAGGTGACACTTCTGACAATGTAAGTGGTACCAGCCAGGAAGCATGTCTGACGAAAGCCCAAAACCAAGCTAGAGTGGCAGGTGAGATCTGTTGAGCAGCCTTCCCAACACTGTTTCACCTCCATAAACTGCTTTCTAAGAACAGTGGGTCCTGTCAACTGCAGAATCTAGTTTTCTGAGAAAGATGAGCGAGTGTGGGGCCAGAGGCGAGAGGCTAGTCCTTTCACCCCACCAGCCCCAGACTGCCTCCTTGCTTCTCATGAATGAACCATATGCACAAGTTAGACAATTACGCCAATAATGTGATCCCAAGGCTGAGGTAGGAATTGTATTAATAAAAAGACAAGCCTGGTGGGAACTTCCCTGGTGGTCCAGTGGCTAAGCCTCCACACTCCCAATGCAAGGGACCAAAGTTCGATCCCTGGTCAGGAAACTGGATCCCACATCTGCAAATAAGTTTGCATGCTGCAACTAAGACCCAGTGCATCCAAGTTAGTAAACCAAAGACAAGCCTGGAACATCTTGTGCCCCAAAGTAAGGAGGTCCTCAGGGAATAATGGGGATATGTCAAAAGGACATAAGGGAAAGAGAAGGGATAGGTCTTCCTTGCAAAGGAATCCTAATTAATCAGTGTAGGAGAAATAATGGAAATAGAAAAATCACAGGTCTTCCTGGTGGTCCAGTGGTTAAGACTCCAGTTTCAGTGCAGGGGACACTGGTTTGATCCCTGGTCAGGGAACTAAAATCATATGTGCCGTGTGGTGTGGCCACCAAAAAAAAAAAATTAGGCAAATTCCACAGTAATAAGTTCCAGTTGGCTGAATGGCAGCCTCCAAAGAGTTTGGTCCTAATTCCTTGGAACCTGGGAGTGTTACCTTATGTGGTAAAGTTTTCGCAGGTATGATTAAGGCTCTCAAGATTGAGAACCCTGGATTATCTGGGTAGGCTCCAAAAACCATCACACATCTCTTTACAAGAGAGAGGCAGACAGATTTAGACATAGACAAGACACTACAAAGACAGGCTGAGAATGCTCAGAGCCACCAGCAGCTGTAAGAAGACTCCCCCTGAGGTCTTCAGAGAGAGCAGACCTGCCAACACTGTGACTTCAGCCTAATGAAACTGACTTCAGACTTATGACTTCTAGAACTCTAAGAAAATACATTTCTGTTCTTTTTTTTTTTTCATTTTTTTTTTTCTCATTTCTGTTCTTTTAAGCCACCGAGTTTGTGACAGTTTGTTACAGTGGCCATGGGAAACTAACCTGGTGTTGCCAAGATTCATCAAAAGATATCAAAATTAGGGACTTCCCTGGTGGTCTGGTTTATTGCAGGGGGCTCAAGTTCGATTCCTGTTCAGGGAACTAAGATCCTACATGCCACATGTCACAGCCTAAAAAAAAAAAAAAAAAAGAGGGAAATTAGTGGCCAGAAATATGCTGAAAAACAATATTTGCATAGTATCAAAGTACAGTTCCACCAGAGACTGATTAATTACAAAAGGAAAACTAGTCACTCACAGTGGAGAAATAGGCAGAGGCCACATTATCTAAATGATCAAAGTAAAATCACCAGTATACTGACATCATGACCTCCTGACATGATTAACTGAAAAGGGCATATCACTTTCCAAAACCCAGGAAGATCCCCCTAGGGCCTTCCTGATGCCCTTTTCAAAGACAAAGCTCAAGTCTAATACCTAAGAGACCCAAATCCTAGCAGCTGACAAAGCACAGGAATGTCAATACAGACGCCAGAGCTTCTCTGCCAATGTCAGTGCAAAGATGCCAGCTTATACTTTCTTCTTGGAGAAGTAAATGGCAACCCGCTCCAGGACTTTTGCCTGGAAAATTCCATGGATGGAGGAGCCTGGTAGGCTACAGTCCATAGGGTCGCAAAGAGTCGGATATGACTGAGCAACTTCACTTTCTTTCTTTCTATAGTTTCTTTTGGAGGAGGCAATGGCAACCCACTCCAGTGTTTTTGCCTGGAGAATGCTATGGACGGAGGGGCCTGGTGGGCTGTGGTCTATGGGGTTGCAAAGAGTCAGACACGACTAAGCAACTAACACACATACATACATACTTTCTTCTGAAGAAGTCCTTTATTCTGTCTGAGGTTATAGGTTTCTTATCTCTGGTGTTTCTTCTATGAAACAATGTTTATAATAAATGGTAGGTTAATTTAATATGCTTACTCTTCAAATTAAAACACCAATAAATCTGTATCAGCTTCCAAAAAATATTTTGAAGTTTATGGCCAAGGAAAACCAAACATCAAGGCCAGCTGTTTGATAGAATATTCCACAGTAATGGAAATGTTTTATATAATAGCTTTGCTATCCTTAGCCACAGGCCCATTGAGGACTTGGAATGTGGCTAGACTGAGAAACTTAACTTTTCCTTCTGTTAATTTTAATTAGTTTTAATAGTCACATATAGGAAGTTCCCTGGTGGTCCAGTGGTTAGGACTCAGCACTTTCACTACCAAGGGCTGGGGTTCAGTCCCTGATGAGGGAACTAAAATCCCATAAGCCAGAGTATTCACGTAATTAGGGGCCACTGTACTGGACAGTGCAATTTTAGGTATTACTGGGATAGACAGGAATTTTTTTAACTCATTAGGAGTTCTGCAGCTCATGAGGAAGTCTCTCGCATTTTGTAAGGGTCAGAGATGTTTTTACACTTAACATGAAACAGTGCAAAATGCAATCATATCTGACTACATGGCTCAAGATAACCAGGTCTATACAGTCAAATCAGGGAGCAGGCTCCCATTTCTGTGACCCTGTCCCCAGTTCTGGGTCCTGTCTCTCCAGAGGTTGTTGCTCTCAGAGCCTGACACTGCTATGAAAACAGTCTTCACTGCATCTACTCTCACCAACCTACTGCTTCTCCCGAGACATACATGAGGTCTTTCAGACAGGAGAAAGGCTAGACAGAAGGCGTCTGTCCAAGTCTCAGGTTAGGAACTCTCCACTGCCCCACAGTCATTCTAG